TCTTTAGTATTATGAAGTGGCCTTCCCTATCTCTTGTTATGGCCTTCACTTTGAGGTCTATTTTGTCCGATATAAGTATTGCTTCCCCAGCTTTCTTTTCCTTTCCATTTGCCTGAAAGATATTTCTCCATCCTTTCACTTTCAGTCTGTGTGAGTCCCTTCTAATGAGGTGGGTTTCTTGTAGACAGCAGATGTATGGGTCATGTTTTTTTATCCATTCAGCCACTTGATGTCTTTTGTTTGGAGAATTTAGTGTGGTTGAGGGAGAGCCTTGACCTCCGGGTTTGGGACTTTAGCGGCGTGTCTGAAGGTGCATGTGTACAAATGACCAGACGGCCACCCCCGTTTTCAGCGGTTCTCAACCTGTGGGTCGTGACCCCTCTGAGGGCCGAACGACCCTTTCACAGGGGTCGCCTAAGGCCATCGGAAAACACATCTATAATTACAGATCGTTTTTGTGATGAATCACAATGCTTTCATGATGTTCCATTTGTCACCATGAAATTGGGGGTCACCACAGCATGAGGAGCCGTATTAAAGGGTTGCAGCGCTAGGAAGGTTGAGAACCGCTGGTTTAAATCAAGAACAAATAGTGAAACTGCGCCCAGCCGGCGTGGCTCCGTGGCTGAGCGTCGACCTAGGAACCAGGAGGTCAGGGATCGATTCACGCTCAGGGCACAGGCCTGGGTTGTGGGCTGGATCCCCAGTGTTGGGGCGTGCAGGAGGCAGCCGATCAGTGATTCTCTCATCATCGATGTTTCTCTCCCTCTCCCTTCCTCTCTGACATCAATACGAATATATTTTTTTAAAAAAGGAACAGAGCAGGTGTGACAGCACACTCCTCAGGCACAACCCCTGTGCGGGGCTGGGAGATGGAGACGGGATTCTGGGACGTCTGCGAGCCCGCCCGTGTCCGGAGGCAGTTAGTCCCGTGACCGCTGATGTCACACGGGGACGGGGACGCCGGCAGCTCCGCTTTCACTCAAAGTCGGAAAACCAGCCCTGACCGTGTGGCTCAGTGGATAGAGCGTCGGCCTGCGGACGGAAAGGTCCCAGGTTCGATTCCCGTCAAGGGCACGGGCCTTGGCTGCGGGCACATCCCCAGTGGGGGGCGTGCAGGAGGCAGCTGATC